ATTCTAGAGTTTTAGAAGTTGCTTACTTAGGTAATATTATATCCTTCTGGAGTCTGATGGAGCTGAAGAATAGATAGTTATAGTTTTCCTTAGTTGTGATAAAAGATAAAGTAAATAGAAATATTGTAACTGTAATTATTGCTTGATGCCTGTTATATGTAATTTTACTATGTTAAAGTTAAAACCTTCCTTTTTATTTAAATAGAAAAAGGGGAGGTGATGTGGGAGTCCCCTCTGTGTGAAGCTATTGGTTAATAAATAAAAAACTGCGTTGGCCTGATAGGGCAGAACTTAGGTAGGCAGAATACACAGAAAAGAATTCTGGGAGGAAGAAAAAAGAGTCAAAGAGATGCCACGGATCCATCAGAGACAGACCCTGGGAATTTTACCTGGTAAGCCACTGCCATGTGGCAATACACAGATTAATAGAAATGGGTTAAATTAAGATGTAAGAATTAGCCAATAAGAAGCTAGAACTAGGGGGCTGGAGAGATGGCTCAGAGGTTAAGAGCACTGACTTTCCTTCCAGAGGTCCTGAGTTCAATTCCCAGCAACCACATGGTGGCTCACAACCATCTGTAATGAGATCTGGTGCCTTCTTCTGGCATGTAGGCACACATGCAGACAGAACATTGTGTACATAATAAATAAATCTTAAAAAAAAAAGAAGCTAGAACTAATGGGCCAAGCAGTGATTTAATTAATAGTTTCTGTGTGGTTATTTCAGGGCTAAGCTAGCTGGGCAGCCAGGATGAACAAGCAGTCCCCTGCAACATGTATATAGCCCTGGCTGTCCTGGACCTCGCTCTGTAGACCAGGCTGGCCTCAAACTCACAGAGATCCACCTGCTTCTGCCTCCCAAGTTCTGGGATTAAAATCATGTGTCACCACCACCCGGCAGGGTTTCTTTATGCAGTGCAGCTGCCTGGAGCTTGCTGTGAAGATTAGGATGGCTTCCAACTCATAGAGATCCTCCTGCCTCTGCCTCCAGAGTACTAGGACTAAAAAGGTATGCACCACCACTCCTGGCCATTTTTTAAAGTTGTGTGGCTATATATGGATATATGGCCATGAGTGCAGGTACCTATGGAGGGGCCTCACATCCCCTGCAGCTGCAAGATGTGGGTGCTAGGTACCAGAGCCTGGGTCCTCTGCCAGAGCAGCACAAGCCCTTATGCACTGAGCCACCACTCCCTCTCTACTGTTCTAATCAGTTGATTTTGTAGAATGCTTTATTTATCAGAACCCTAAGCTTCTCTTTCCCAAGTATGCAGCATGAATCCCGGCTTGTTAAGGTTTACGGTTGAATTAATCACTGGAGCAGGGAAGATGGAATGCTGGTATTGGGCAGGTTAAACTACCTGGTCACCCCTGAAGCAAAAAGAGGATTAGGAGAGAGTGACTGTCAGCCTCTTACTGAGCATAAAGACTAAGAACGGGGTACCATTCTTAAGAAGCCAAATGGGGTACTATCATTAGGAAAAGGATAGATGCTGAACAGGTGAAAACAACAGATGTCCCCATGATCCAAGTAAACTCATGGAAAAGGTCCTATCGTTATGGATCTGACACACTACTGCCCCATCTACCCCATCCCCACTGGGATTAGCTCAATCTTCCTTGCAGCCCCACCAAATAGTCTGTGAGCTGACATGAACCAATTTGGTCCCTTTCACAGGTGGCTGTAGCACACCTGTCCACACCCATAAAAGTATTTATTACTGAGAAATAGCAAGCAAGTTCAGTCAGATGGCTGCTCCTCAAACTGCAGGTGCCCACCCTTCACCCTGCCTTGCAGGAAGCACACCCCATAACAGACTTAGCACGCTCACAGAAGGTGTCAGGTAACTACAGATCTAGGACGAAGTGGCCCGAGAGAGAACCTTCAGGACTCAAGCCTCAGAACCATGAGTACTCAGGCTGCAGACTTCATTCCTCCAGTTACGACGAGGGTCTCTTAAATAGTCCTGAGATCTATAGCCCAGCGTGTTGGCACACATCTTTAATCCCAGCAATCAGGAGGTAGAGGCAGGCAGGTCTGTGAGTTCAAGGCCAGGCCAATCTACATAGCAAGTTCCAAGATAACAAGGGCTATGTTATCTTGAGAGCCTGTTTCAAAAGAACCAAAAATGAACAAATAACCCTCAGATCTAGAAAGCCATTAACATCACAGCAAAATGACAATCTGTTTCTGATGCTGACCGGTAAGTCCTCTGGCGCTGACTTGTGAGTACAGATGAGGGAGCTGAGGCAGAGGGAGGGTAAATGGCTTTTTGGTGACGGGGAAGCATCTGGGTTCAGAGTTGCTGCTCCACAGTTACAGAACAACCAGAAGCATCTAGCTGATATTTAAGGGCTAGAGAGGAGACTAGGAGTGGGAACTAAGGGCATACTTCAGGTGGGAGAATGCTTAGCTAGCACACACAAGACCTTAAATTTCAACCTCAAAGCCACAGAAACTGAGCACAGTTGGGTGAGCCTTCCTGTAATCCCAGCACTTGGGAGATGAGGACCAGAAAGACATTCAAGGTCATCCATCCTTAGCTACACAGCAAGTTCCGGGCAGTGTGGGACACTTGAGACCTTGTCTTTAAAAACAAATAAGGGCTGGAGAGACTGCTCCGCAGTTAATAGCACTGACTGCTCTTCCAGAGGACCTGAGTTCAATTTCCAGCACCCATATGATGGCTCACACCTATGTGTGGTGAGATCTGGTGGGTGCCCAGAACACTGTATACATAACAAATAAGGGGTGGTGGAGTTAGAGGGTAAAGATGCCTGCTCCCAAGACTAACACCTGGTGGGTGGAGAGTACCGACTCTGGCAAGTTCTTGTCTGACCTTCCCATGCGTGTGGCCACAAACATACAAGCATACCACATACATCAACGGAATGTAATTAAGAAGTAGTAGTAGGGCTGGAGAGATGGCTCAGTGGTTAAGAGCATTGCCTGCTCTTCCAAAGGTCCTGAGTTCAATTCCCAGCAACCACATGATGGCTCACGACCATCTGTGGGGAGGTCTGGCGCCCTCTTCTGGCCTTCAGAATATTGTATACATAATAAATAAATAAATAAATAAATAAATAAATAAATAAATAGAAGTAGTAGTAGTGCCAGGTGGTGGTAGGACTGAGAAGGCTATGAAGTCCTGAGTTTAATCTTAAACTGGGCACAAAGGAGAAGGAGGGAGAGGAGGAGGAGTCAGCAGACAGTGCTCACCAACACTTATTTAGTGGGCTGGTGACAATGTAACAGTTCTAACACTCTTTTGTTGTTTTGGTTTTTTGTTTTGTTTAAATAGGATTTCTCTGTGTAGCTCTGGAGCCTGGCCTGGAACTCATGAGGAGGATCTCTGTGAGTTTGAGGCCATAGTGGTCTACAGAGTGAGTTCCAGGACTGGCTCCATAGCTACCCTGTCTCAAAAAGAAAAACAAACAAACAAAAAGTGCTTTGAGAAACTTTTGAAAGATTTGACTACAAAAAGGAGCATTTTTCTGGGGGGTCCAAAGGGATCTGTTCTTGACAATCCAATCAGCAGAGGATATTGTTCAGCAGTCGGCAGACAGAACTGTTTCAAGCCTGCAAGCTGCCTAGGAACCTTCTCAGGCTGAGATTAGCCTCCATCCTGGGCTGCAGTACCACCACCCTCTTCGTGGCTTTGATGCTGGAGGAACTCAGCACCAACCTCCACAGCTGGACCAACTTCAGCAAGGTCTCACTCTGTATCCCTGCCTGGCTCGAATCACTCACACTGCAGATTAGGCTGACCTGCGCATGTGAGTGCAGGAACTGTGGGCAAGCATCGCCATTCTGGCTACTTTTAAGTTTTTGATGCTGAGGATCTCACCCAGAACCTCAAACACAGCAAGTATGCACCTACTTAATTGCAAGTTCACACTGTTTAATTTTAAATAATAGTTATATTTGGCAACCTGTCAGTAAAGCTCCCGAAAAAAGCTATTTTTTTCCACATTCAGTAAGACACATGCAAGGGTGTGGACTTCTCTGAGAGTTGTACTCAAGCAATAGCTGAGACATGTAATATTTTGGTGGCTCTCAAGTCATAACTTTAGGAGTTATAACTCCTAAGTAGTTGTGGGTTTGGTTTTTTGTATCCTGTACCACAATCTCTAGTGCTTGGCCTACGGTTAGGTCATTGAATCAAGGTGAGAAGAGAGGATGCTAAAGGTCATAGGGGTAAGGCTGTTAGTAGGCACTAGACTAAGTGTCATTCCAGGACTCTGGGTAGGTGTCAAAAGAGCCTCCAGCCAGGACTTTACCTTGGAGATTGGCACTTCCCACAACAGATAGGTCTGAGCAATCAGACAACTAAGATAAAAAAAACAACTATCAAAAAGAAACCTAGTCAAGCTAACAAAACAAGTTATGAAACTAAACACCTACTTAGAACACTCTATCAATTTGTACTGCAGAAAATAAGTGTGATCGTCAGAGAATCAGATAGGAGCAACCAGGATGCTGTCAGGTCCTGGCTACACGGAAATGCTAATCAGCAAGTCATGCAAGCTCCACTCATCATTTTCTATCTGCCCTCCAAAAGGAGGAACAGGTAAGGATTAACCTCCTGACGATATAGATCGCGGGGTCCCATTGTTTATTGGGCAAAGATATTTCCGGTTAAAGCAAGGGTGAAAATGTGACAGTTTTAGCACAAACCCAGTAATTCAGGGTTTTTGCAACCGTAGAATAAAACCTATTTGCAAGTCGCTATATATAAATTATTTTCCATTCGGCGCCCAAAAGGGAGATATAAAATCCTCCCAGAATGCTCCGCTCGCACACGGCAAACTAGAAGCTCTGTGTGCGGTGCTTATTTACATATCTCCGCCCACTTACTTCCGTCTATCGTGTACCGTAAAAATCCAAATAGAAGGATCGCCTACTAGCTTACGTACAGGAAGGCTAGGAAAAAAGTTTTTACACCAGCTCCTTGGCCCACCCAGTTGTCTTCTGAAAAATAGTATCAGACTAGCTCTTACTAAAAAATTATTTTATTACAAGGCTCTAATAAAATTATAAGCCAAGATTTCAGAGATCTTATCCCAACACTGCCATCCTCTGCTTAAAAGCAGTGAGCGGGGCTTAAGAGTAGGGAGAGAAAAAACTGAAGCCTGTCTTTCTTCTTCCCCCACCGAGAGAAAGCTCATCACTTTTCCAGCCTTGGTTCCTACGTCCAGGTCGTGATCAGAAAGGTTTCTTTTTCAGCCCAAAGACAGCGATGAATAAAGCCGTTTCCGTGAGAGCAGGGATGAGGCTGTGAAAAGGAGGGCATGGGTTCAGGGCCCCTTCCAACACAAACACCCAAACCTCCAAACACTATACGGGACTGTGCTTCGGGATGCGTATGACACTTCAAAACACTAGTAATTTCACAGGCGCACGAACGATCTAGGAGGGGAAAATCTTCAGATTTAGGCTAGACTTTCCACCCCCACCCCTGTTCTAGAATATAGGGTGCTACGGCACCTGCAGAAGGCAAAAATGTACCAGTATGTGGTACATTCCCATCGCTCGAATATGAAGAAAGATAGGGCCACAGATGCGCTACAGTGGGCTGCAATGGCTTAAAAACACAGCAGAGTCAAGGAAAGTAACGGAGTGACGGGCCCCATCTGGACCTGGGTTCATCTCTTATTCCCTCCCCATAAAGCAAGTGCCCGAGTGGGCAGTCATGCATTCTGAATGTGTGGACAAAGATGCTTAAGAGACCAGAGCTCAGACTAGAGGCGGTGGTACACAGCTTTAATCCCCAGCACTAGGGAGGCCAAGGCAGGTGGATCTCTGAGTTCAAGGCCAACCTAGACTACAAAGCTAATTCTAGGACAACCAAGCTATGCAAGGAAACCTTGTCTCAAAACACCAATAAAAAAAGGGGGGGGGACCCGTTTCTACGTATCTAGGACAACCCTGCACACTTCTGGGGGAGGTTAATGTTACATACACCCTAGGCCACACATGAATACCTACAGGCCTGATAAACTGCAGGAATCTCTCCAGTGCCTGATCGATCCTCCTTGTCCACAGTTCAGTCAAGAGCCGCGACCATTGCCTTCTTCTCTTCTCCTCATCCTCCTTTCTTTCTTTCGTTCTTTCATTCCCTCCATCCTTCTCTTCCTTCCCTTCCCTCCCCTTCTTTTCTTTCCTCCCCTCCCCTCCCTTCTTCCCTTCTTCTTCTTCTTCTTTCTTTTCTTTTTTTGAAACAAGGTTTCTCTGTGTAGCTCTGGCTGTCCTGGCACTCGTTCTGTAGACCACACTGACCTCGAACTCAGAGATTCGCCTGCTCCTGCCTCCCTGGTGCTGGGATTAAAGGCCTGTGGCACCACATTCTGCCATCAAGAACCTTCTTTTGTGCTTCATTGTCTTAGTTCCTTCTGAGTTCTCGTATTGCTTTGTATTTTACATACTCTGCAACTAGTGATTATCACACTGATTCACAGATGTGTATCTCCCTCCCCCTCGAATGGGAGAAAATGGCTTATGACAGGGATGAACAAATGTTTGAAGACTAGTAATTCCCCATACTGTCTAAGACCTCTCACCTAGAGAGATTCGGTTTGCCCCCTGAGCAGAGACTTCTACCCAAAAGGTCTAAAGGGGTGGAAAGAGTGGGGCGCTGGGCAGGCAGAAAGGATACAGAGGAGGCTCTGGGTGCTATTGAACATGGAAACTCCTGAGAGGAAGCCGGCCAGCTCCACCGCAAAGAAGCCCAAGGTGAGACAGAGAGCTACCACCAATCTGCAGAAAGGGAAGGGGTTGGATCAGAGCTTCTGAGAGTCTTTGAAGACCCCTGCATTCTCATCCCGTCCCAAGCGCTCACTGGACGTCCTGCTTCTCATATTCCTCGGGGGTGAACTTGAGAGGCAGGCAAGCCTGGATGTTGCTTTCCTGGTGAACCGGGCAAAAAGGAAGAAAAGTCAAAGGAGGGACGGGGTTGCGGGGACAGGTGGGGGAGGGCCCGGGGACCGGGCGCAATGGACTGGGTAAGGCCCGGGGGAGGAGTGGACTGATCTGAGCTGGGTCCACTCCAAGATGAGAACGGCTGGGCACGCGCGCGTCCCGTCCGTGTCTTACCCGGGACCAGAATAAAGTGATGACAACCACCAGATGAGCCAAGAGCGTCAGGAACCGAGAGGGCACGAGCCCGGAGATCCGACCCATGGCCTCGGGGACCCAGAGCGGGGGTCGTGGAAGTCAGAGATGGGTCACGCCTCAAGTCTCCCGCACCAAGCAGGCCAGACCTCTCTGTTTAAGCCTCCTTCCCGGGCACTCAGGCACCGCCCAGTTGCCATGGTAACTGCGTCCGCAGGCGCCACGCAGCTGTTTCCGGAAGTCTCGCGATAGCGCCGCGCCCCGGGCCGAAGTCGGGAGATCGGGTCTCCAGGCAGGCGTGGCGGTGAGCGGTTGAGTGGACCCCCCGGGGGCGCACCGGGAACCGCCAAGTCCTCCCTTCTCCTCTGGACACGAGGGGAGAGGAGGGTGTGCGGAGCTGGTCCCTCAGTCGCCGTCATGTCACCGAACCCCTGGTTGTCAGAGGACCCCCCCCAGATCAAACTTTTACCCCTCAAAGAATGACTCATTTCTCCCCCAGAAAACGTGTTTCAGTTTAATGAGAGATTTGCCGAGCGCAGAAACGATTAGAATAGGATTTGGGTGAGGTGAGTGCTTCGGGAACCGAGGGGGTTAAATCAGAAACGGTGAGGAGTGGAGGGATGAATTGGAATAGCGTTGAGTCCTTTGGGAGGCTTAACACAGACTGGGGATGCTGGGCCAGCATCCCTTTTCACTCTCTTGAGATGTCAGGTCTCCGACATCGCTCAGTTACAGACCAAGACCTTGTTACTAGGGCGACCTGACTGATCTGGGGCTTCCAATGAAATCCCTGCTGATTGGAACGTCCTCACCACCTTCCCCGATTCACAATCAATTCCATTGATTATGGACCTCCCAGCCAACTGGCAGTTCTCTTCTCTCCATTCCTTTCCTTGTGCCTTTAAACGAGTCGAAAAGACAAGGCTCAGAGGTATTTCTGACTTAATTCACTCAACTAATCTTTCTAGGCGGCTCCCAAATGCCAGGCACAGTGCTTGACTCTGAGAGTATGTTGATATATAAACTAAAGCCTCTCCCTCCAGTTTTATAGTTTAGGGAGGGAGATCGGTAGCAAACATTTAAAAAGTAATAATAAAAAGCCCTGCACGGTACTATAAATAAAAAGGGCAACGCAAATAATATCAAAGGAGAATTTGAAAACAGATAATTCTTAAAGTTTTGTTTTAAGGAACTGACCAAAACCTAGAAGAAATATATTTGTCTTCCTAGAGTAATACATGGGTTTCCTTTTCCTAAGTTTTCAGAGCTCAAAGTCAAAATATTTTAGTTAAAGGTCGTGAAAGACAGACTGAGGAGTTCTGAATGAAGGGGACAGAGCTGACAATACATGGGATCCCAAACCAGGTAAAAGGATCCTCCACACATGAGCTCCCAAACCGTAAAAGCCCCCGTCACACATACACTGGAATGCTGGATAAAATTTGTGTAGGGCTTGTAACTTAGATAATAGTGGTATAAAAGTGTGATTTCCTGATTTTTTTTTCAGCATTGGCGATAAATTCCAAACCGCTTTCATATAGGTAAGCACTCTCTACTGAGGTATACTTCCACCCTCCCTTCTAAATCTTACAGGATCATCATTAATGCCTGGAATGGCACTCGAAAGCATGAGGGATAATTTATAGCATTGAAGGTCCCTATTTATCAATTCAGGGTCTGGACCGTACCAAGCAAGGGCTTTACTACCAAGCGCCACTTGAGGTCCTAATAGTGAAACTATCTAATACCTTTTTCATATGAACCTGAATCTTAAGCTAGGTAGGGGCAAACACTTACAACCCCAGAATTTTGGAGGTGGGGGAAGGGTCAGAAATTCAAGGTCAATGCTCAATTATGTAGTGAGTTGTAGGTCAAGCTGGACAGTGTCAGATCCTGTCTCAATAAAAACAAAGCAAAACAATAACAACAAAAATTAGAGAGATGGCTCAGTAGTTAAGAGGACATGGCACACACCTTTCTTCCCAGCACTTGGGAGGCAGAGGCAGGAGGATTTCTGAGAGTTCAAAGCCAGCCTGGTCTAGAAAGCAACTCCCAGGACAGCCAGGGCTGTTAACACAGAGAAACCGAGTCCAGAAAACAAAGAAGCAAAGAAAAAGCACATAGTGCTCTAGCTAAATTCAGTTCCTAAACCCCATACTGTGCAGCTCACAGCCTGTAACCCCAGCTCCCGGGGACCCAGGCTAAAGAGGCTGTATCACATAGGATGAAGAGCCAGGAAAAAGCTAGGGTGAGCTTTTGAAGATTTCCCAAGGTCTGAGGGCAAGAAGTCAGCCCAGTGGAGATCTGGGGAAACAGCATTCCAGGCGGAAGGAGGATCAAGGGCATGTTTATCAGACAGAAAGGAAGCCAAGGATTCTGAAGCCTACACTAGAGGGGAGAGAAGAGGGGAAGAGAGGATCAGAGTGATGTTGAATGGCTAAATTCTCTCAGCCTCTGCAGCCATGGAGTGAGACATAATCCGATTTGCATTCTAGACTCTGGTTGCAACATAGAAAATAGATTTTAAGTAGAAGATAAATGGGAAAGATATGAAAGAAACATCTAGAAGGGATAGGTTGGACTTAAATCAGATGGAATCTAGCAGGTGGATTGGAGGGAATCAAGAGAAACTTTTTTTTCTTTTTTAAAGCTAAGGTTTTACTCTGTACTCCTAGCTAGCCTGAAGTTCACTGAGTACTCTAGGCTGGCCTTGTGTTCACAGCAGTTTTCCTGTCTCCGCCTTGCAAGTTCTGGGATCTCTGGCATGAGAGATATCTAGAGGAAAAAGATCTGGGTCTGGCTGTGTGCTGTGGGGTTCGAGCACCTGGAATTTTGGGGTTTCCTGCCTGTAGTGCTTCTAGTCTAAGGGGCTACCAGATGGCAGAAACTAGGTACTCACACTTGATGTTATATGGTAATGGCACTAAGTGAGCTTGGTGGGTCTGTCCAGTCCTTTCCACGACTTTGGTTCTCAGAAGCCTGCCCTAGAAAAGCTGTTTCTGAGTTTTAGTGCCACTCTGTGGCCTTAGGAGGTACTGTGGGTGATGCATGTGCTTCAGCTGTCTCACTTCGGACTGGGGCTCCTCTCTCCTAATGTTTGTGGGGTGCACACACACAGACACGGGGAAGGGGTGTTAATGACATCAATCAGGAAAAGTGACCTGCAACATTATCTGATTCAAATCACCCTTGTTGGGAAGGAACATAAGAGTATATGTACATCTCTGAGCTTGGGGCCCTTCCAGGGCCTAGGGGACTGTGCTTCCTGCTCAGACAGCTGCTCTGGAGTTTGGTCACAGGCATTCCATTTAACATGTTCTGGTAGCCTGTTGGCAACATGTGCCGGGCTTCGGCTTCACCCTAGCCTTACTCAGCTGGTCTCCAGAGCGGTTGCTTAGGAATGGACTCACTTTGGCAGCCTGTCCTAGAGCAGCCAGCCGTCACCGTGGAGGCCTGTGCCAGCCCCTCCAGAAAGAGCTGCCCCGCTGCTGGTGACTTGCCCTTTGTGCTGATCATCAGAAAAGAATGCTTCTGCCTGGGTTTTAGAGTCTGCCCACTGGGAACATCCAGCTCTATCAGGACCCAGGGATCACGGAGCCTACCTGCATCAAGGATCAAGACCCTACTGTGCAATGCTGTGGATGTTTTAACCTAGGTGGCCGTCATGCTTTGGCCAGCCTGTCCACTTCTGCTCCAATATCAGTGACCCACAGTCGGGGCTGCTGTGACTCTTCCACTTCTTTCAGGCTCAAGGGGCCCAAGATGCCAAGGACCACCCCCCCTGGTGGGGCAGAGCTGGTTATTCAAGAGGGAGTGCCAACAGGGGTCAGGCTTGAGCCGCTACCACATCACAGAACGGCCTGCAAACTGGCAAGTGCCTGCACCAAGTGCAGGTGCCCAGGCCGCCATCTTAACTTTTCAATTTTATTTTATGATTATATTAAACACATGATTCCAAAGCAAAACTCTACAAAGTAGAGTCATCTAGAGATCTCAGTGTCCCCGTTTAATCACACATAAACCATTTTATTAGTTTCTGGCTTACTGCTCCATCAAAAACAAACCGGCCTCAAGCTTGCAGCCAAAGATGGCCTTGAGCAGATCTTGACAGCTGTGCGGGCCCACCAGACAGTGTCTCACTAAGTAGCCCAGGTTGTTCTTGAGTCTGAGATTCTTCTGTCTCTTACCCTCCTCTAATGCCGGTACTTCAAGGCTTGCCACACGAGGACTTTATTCTTCACTCACTCTCATTTTAGGAGAGAATAAAAGGCCGTTCCTTGTTTTGAGACAGGGTTCCGCTATGGCCCTTGACTTGCCTGGAACTCATTACGTAGACTAGGCTGGCCTCCAACTCTTGGAAATCCCTACGTCTGCCTCCTGAGTAGTTGGATTAAAAACATGAACCAAGCGTTGTTTTTTCTAAAACAAGAACAATTATCAGTAAAGACTAAATTATATGCCAGTTGGCGGTAGAAGTGGATGCCTTTAATCCTGGAACTCAGGAAGCAGAGGCAGGGGGATTTCTGAGTTTGAGGACACCCTGGTCTACAGAGCAAGTTCCAGGACAGCCAAGGCTACCCAGAGAAACCCTGTCTTGGGGGGGAAAAAACCCAACCAAACAACAACAAAAACTCTAAATGATCACATTTTATGGAGTCAAACTTTTGATGGTCATATTGTTTCCATTATAAGGAAAAAAGGTGTGTTGCCTTCTAAGAAGTGATTTTACCTTATTGTCTATATTCTGAGAAGTCCTTAGCCATGAACTCCCTGAACTTGGATGATGCCACCCCTTCCCCAGTGCTGGAGTGCGGAGTCAGCAGCTCTACCCAGCTGTCTCTCTCTGCCTCTCTCTTTTATTCCTTCCCTCTCTTGCCTTCCTTTGACAGAGGACCTCCATATTATCCAGGCTGGTCTCAGACCACTAAAATGTAGCATGGGGGTGGAGCAGAAGAATTGTGAGTGCAAGGCCTGCTTGGGCTACTGTAGAAAGTCAAGGTCAGCCTGGGAAATTTAGCAAGATCTTGTTGGAAAATAAAAAGCCACAGCCCCAGCACTCAGGAGCCTGAGGCAGGAAGATTGTCAAGAATGTTAGACCCTTCAGCCACAGAGTATGACAGTGCTCAAAACAGCACAAGGAGTATTTAAGTGCCCTTGTGGGGGAGAGAGAGAAAAGGCACGCCACGTGGGGAGGAAGTCTGCCCCGAACTGAGTCCTGAAAGCAATGTGAGGGATTTTGAAAGCCCTTCAAGCAATACCAAAGGCCGTGGTTCAAAGACATTTGGGGTCGTCATGAGTTTAGACATTTGAAAATGATTCAGCAGGTGCTAGGCATATAACTTAGTAGCCTAGCATGTAAGCGGTCACTGGGTTCATTCCTAGAACAGAGGGGAAGGAAGAGGAGGAGGAAGGAGGGAAAGAGAAAAGAGAGAAAAATAAATGAGTTGGTGGCACACATTTGTATTCCCAACAATTGGGAGGCTGAGGCAGAGATTGCTGAAAATTCAAGGACAGCCAGAGCTATAAAGTAATATATATTATATAGTATTCTGTCTCAAAAAGTAAAAATGACCAGAACCTTAAAAGTTAGTTTTAGCCCTGTGTTCCTGTAATCCTACCACCGTGAAGGCTGAAACCAAAAGAATTCAAGTTCAAGGTCAGCTTGGACAACTAAGGAGCCAGCTGTCTTTAACGAAGAAACGAGCAAAAGTGAGTAGGGGCTGATGCTGGTGAGATAGCTCAAGGGTTAGGAGCACACATTGCTCTTCCTGAGGACCTGTTCCCAGGAGATCAATTCCCAGGACCCCCAGCTGCGGGGGATCTCACACCTGTGCACTCTGCAGACACTTGCATTTATGTGCATGTACTCCTCCTACATACACACAATTAAAATAATAAAAATAAATCTTAAAAAATAGATAAGATTACAAATCTTAAAAAGATAAAATTACTAACCCGTTGGTGGTGGCCCAGCCTCCAAGGCAGGTGGATCTCTGTGAGTTGGAGGCCAGCCTGGTCTATAGAGCAAGTTCCAGGGCAGCCAGGGTTACAGAGAGAAACGCTGTCACAGAAAACAAATCACTCAAAAATGATTACGTAAGTGTACCAAGTAGCCTATATATGAATTGTATATGAGGAGCCCACAGGCGTTAGGAACTCAACTTCTTGACTCTGTAAACCCAAGGAGCTAAGACTGGATCCGACTTCAAAGAGCCTTTGATTTTAAGCCAGGGAGCGATGGAGGACCTTCCGGAGCCCAAATGAGAGAGGAGCTTGATACATAGCAAGCCAGCCCAGGAGGCCCAGAGAATGGACATGGGTATTGGCAGAATTCCTGAGGGATTGGAACAGATGGGATTTCGGGACTGGAAACCGGATGTGTGGGAGAGGGAAGGGTCAAGAGTCTCCCCTTTCATGGCCTGTCATGGGCATGCAAAAGACCTGGGAAAGAAGAAATGGTTAGTCAAGGGGAGATGTCCGCTGGCGCCAACACCAGGGTCTGTGAGCAAGATTCAGGAGCCCTGAGTGTGTACAGTTGAGAGCTGGAGCTAGGGAACACTGCAGCCTAAGGAGAGAAGACAGACCCCTGATGAAAATGGGCGCGGGGGGGGGGGGGGGGGGGGGGAGGCCAAGAAGTCGCTGTCCTTCTGCATCCAGTTAAGAGCAGGCCTTAGTAGGTGTGACAATGGAACACCAGGCCGCTGCTTGCCTTTGCCGGAGTGGGGGGGAGGGGACGGGACCATTCTTTGCTTTCCTTTCAGCTGACCTTCACAGGACTCCGGGAACGGACAGGGACGGGAGGCCGTGGAGTCGGAGGGATGGAGCTGCTTTTGCTACGTTCAGATGGTGCGGTCTCCTCCGAGGGGAGAGGCTCCAGCCATATTTTGGGTTTCCAGAAACATTAGAGAAAAAGAAAAAAAAAAAAAATCCTTCCAATAGTGCCATGAGGTGATCCGTGCAGGGCTGTGGCCGGCCGGCCTCGTGGCGCAACGGTAGCGCGTCTGACTCCAGATCAGAAGGTTGCGTGTTCAAATCACGTCGGGGTCATTTACACTTTTTTTTCCCCCCAATTTCCTTTACTTTTGTCCCAGTGATAAAAAAAAAAAAAAAAAATCTCTTAAAGAACAAAAAGAAGAGGCTCGGGAACCAAATCTTGACGCCGCCCAGTCAGGATATCTCGGTGATCTATTTCTAGTGAGCATTTTTGCGATAATCCAGAAATTCTGGGCAAAGCGGGACTCGAAGCCAGCCAGCCCGAATTGGAGCCTTCGGTGTTGGCTCCATCACTGCTCTGCGAGTGCGCGCGGCAGTTAGGCCAGGAGTCCTGGAAACGCAGACAGGGGCGGCCTCGGTCAGGAGTGAGGGTTCAGGTCTCAGAGAAGCCAACGCGAGCACCGCCTGTGTGGACGAGGTGGCCGAGTGGTTAAGGCGATGGACTGCTAATCCATTGTGCTCTGCACGCGTGGGTTCGAATCCCATCCTCGTCGTCGGTGTAGCTTCTACGGTCTACATTCAGTTTTGTAATCGAGAGACAAATTGTGACAATTTCCAATTTCCGAGTCACTCTGTCTTCAGAACACCTACTACCAGGGCGGCTTCCAGTCCTTTCTACTACCTTTTCCAGCAGCACCGAGATTTATTTCCTGGTTGCTCATCTGCCCTATGAGTGACCTCGCCAAGTAGTGAAGGAGTTACCTCATCGGATAGGCGCCGTGGCTTAGTTGGTTAAAGCGCCTGTCTAGTAAACAGGAGATCCTGGGTTCGAATCCCAGCGGTGCCTTTCCCTTTTACAGAAACTAGAAAAGTTCCAACAAACACGAGACGTGAACAGACTTTGAGTCCATCTACTTACGTCTACTCACTGCTTTGCCTCTGGCGTTCCGATGATTTTGTATTTGGGAGTGGGTTCCAGAACCTCCTTCCAGATCACATTTACGTACTGACCCGAAATCAAATGTCAAAATCGCATCATTCCATTCTTGCCTGTTAAAATTGCAAGTTGTTAACTACTCACTGCTAGTTTGGATATATACATTTTCCGTCCTCCAAAATGTCTTTTCTTGGCTAGACTGGAACATCTATTCCTTTTACATGCCTTTAAAAATATATGTCTGTTGTAACTGGCCGGTTAGCTCAGTTGGTTAGAGCGTGGTGCTAATAACGCCAAGGTCGCGGGTTCGATCCCCGTACGGGCCAGAGAGTACTATTCCTTTTGAATTTCAAATAATAGGCTGTTTTTGCAATTATTAGATGGAAGTATAGAATTGTTTTCCTTTTATCCCTTTTAACAATGTGGCCTTTTTTTCTCTGCAATTTTAGATAAAGGTATAGAATTCTCTTAGTCTTTTTTTATTACTCGTTTTAGTTGGATTCCAAGATGGTCTTACTAGTTTTAATTATTTTTCTAAAAGGGAGACATCTAAGAACACTTCATAAAGCAGTATTTCTAATCCTGAAACAGTTTGAACTAAACAAATGTACTGGAATATGTCCAAAATGTGGGATTCGGGTATCATTTTTGTTATCTTGGAGATTCGATGATCATAATATGTAGTTCTTGAATGTACTGTGTAAACTGTAAGGAGAAGACAGTCTTTGTGGACTGATCTGCACTGAGGTCAGGGACAGAGCTGCAGGAGTTTATATTTCCTCATTACCAAGATAACCAATCTGCCGAGCGTCTGCTGTCCATTGGAAGCAGAAAAGCCACCACCACCACCACCCCCCGGCCCCCAGACCCGTGCTGGCTTCTGCTTGTAGTGGCTCTGAGAACCTTTGTGTAATCATCTCCTTCAGATCTGAAGCAGGCCTTAGATCCTTCTCCCTCTAGCATGAGACTTCCTCCCCCACACCCCCAGTTCCCACCCCCAGGGAGCTCCAGGAACCACCCCGACCTTCACTCCCATTCCTCTGCCTTGTCAATCCCTGCGACCCCACACAGAAACAGGCTCAGCCTTAGCAGCAGCGGCACTTTAATTCCACAAAACTCTCCACAACAGGTGGGCTTCAAAACCAGCAACAATTCTAAACTTAACCGAGAGCGGTGAGACACCTCCCACCTCACCCTCTCCACCAGGGAATGTGCACCTGCTTGCTCCACCCCGTGGCATTTTAGGGGACCAGAGGGAAGAAGCAGAAGGTTATGCATTAGCAGATGTGCGCCCTTGCCTGCACGGCGCCTGCCGAGGACCACTCAAGCTCCTAAAGCCCCTGGCACTTGGGGTCTGATCACTGGGATCAGGACAGCCACAGCAAACAGTGGCCCCTTCCGTTCTCTTCTCGGCACGCGTGGTGGTCTGCTCCACCGCACCAGCAGAGATCTAAAGGCCTGCGTTCCCAAGGATGGCGTTCTAGCGAGGGAGAAGAGTCAGGAAGAACAGGGTAGACTGCTGGCCAACTGAATAGAAGCAGAGCTACAGCCCTTTGCAGTAGGAAAATCTTTACGACTTCCCCATTCCCCATTCCATTCACACATTACTCCGAGAATGGGCACAGGCTACGTAAACGCTTGTGGAAGAACCTCTAACGCACAGGCCTCCCCTCAACCTGCAGTTTCCACCAGAGCTTCTCGAAGAATCCTTAGGGTCCAACTGGACCCTGGCCTGGCCAGGTTAGGCATGGCCTCTCTCTCCTCTGTGCTCCTGGTCACTTGCATAGGGCCTCCAACACCTCCAGAGTACGTCGGATATCTCGGACTTGGCGTGCCAGCCCCTGAACCGGTTGCAGAGCCCGTTCCAGCTCCTCGCAGCGCGCAAGTAAGGTGTACATGCCCTTGATGCTCATGTCCACGGCCTCGCCTAAAGAATCCACGGCGTCGCGGTAGGTCTGGATACAGCCCACGCTCAATGCTGTCAGCTCCTGCACCGCACCACCCAGCCCGCGGAGCAGACGGTCCACCCTGCCGCCCAGCTCGCGACTCAGCCGCTCCAGATCCCTCAGCACGTCGGGGTCGATGGGAGGAATAGTGGGAGTGGGTGCGGGGGTCAGGCTGGACCGCGCAGAGGCAGGGGGAAGGGGCGGGGGGGCGCCACTCAGACGGATCTTGAGTTGTAGGTTGTTGGCGACGAAGTGGGTAAGGTCGCCGTGGCGGCTCACCGTGCCCTCGAGCTCTAGGGGGCTGGAGATGGTGGCGCGACGTCCCCCGCCAGCGCCGGCCTCGCCAGTCGCCGAGGATCCCCCTCCGCCGCACGCCCCACTCAGCCCGTCCAGGCTGCGGCTGTCCTGAAGGCGGCTGGGGAACGAGCGGCCAGCCCTACCCGCCGCCGCCTCCTCTTCGTCGTGGTCTGCATCCTCTCGCTGCGGAGGCTCCACATCCATCTCGACGCCGCCGGGGCTCCCTCGACGGCAGACCCTCAGGGCGGAAGGCTGGTTCTCGCCGGGCTCGGGGTCCTGGTGCCAGGAGGACGGGGGCGGGGCGAGCTCAGAACCTGCGGGTCCCCCGCGGCCCCGGGTCCCTGACGGCGTCGCCCTGATGCCCGGCTGTTCCTCCCAAGCTCCCGGCTCCGGCCGGCGGACGATGCTGCCGCTCGACGTCTTCGGGGACGCTCGTGGGTGACGGCTCGCGACCCCAACGTTCTCAGCCTCTTCCTCCCCGGACGCCCTCAAGACTGAGGGCGGCTTCGAAGGCGTTCGGACCGGCTGGCCGCTGAAATTCGCGGCCTGATGATCGGCGACGGCCGAAAGGTCCGGTTCTGGCCCGAGCCGCCCCCCGGCGGCCTCCATGCTGCGGGTGGGGGCCGGAACTTCGAGTCGCTCGCCCGGTTCCGCGGCGGCGGCGGCGCCTTTAAGGGGCGGGGGCGGAGGCGCGCCGATTGGCAGCGGGCTGCTCGGGGCACGGACAGGAAGGACTCTGCGATTGGTCGCCGCCCCAGGAAGTTACGGACGAGGAGTGTTGTTGAACTGCAGAGCCCACGTGAAAGCCAGTCGGGTAGCGGCTGGGACGTGACAGCTGCGCCCGGAGTCCCGCGGGGCGGAGCCAGGCTCTGGATCCACAGTTACTGCCTAGCAATCACACCCCACCGGGGATCGTTCTAGGATTTCTGGAGGTTCTTGGGATGCGACTATTTTAAAGCCAGAATTCTCAGCGGCACAAGAGTGATTGGTTCTGTTCTTGAGACCCTGAGACCTGGTCGTTGACACCCAGAGCGTCTCACTGTGGACAGAGTTGCAGCAAGGTCTGTGGATTTTCTGGGTGTGTTTGCCACTCTCCGGCCTCCTGTCTCCTCTGGGTAGAGCTTTGTCTCATTAGAGGATAAAACGTGATTTTGTCACAAAAGAAAACATTCAACAGATGAAAAGATCAGAAATATTGATAAACACTGTGCGGGAAATAAAGGACTGTAATTGAGAGTAAGTAGTACTAGTTAGAGGAGGCCTCTGATGGGAAGACTCGGAGAACCATCAAGAGCATCAGAGCCACCTTGCAGGCAGGGTGGCTTTCCTAAATCTCAGGGGCAAAGAGGGGTGATATAAACAAAAAGTGTTGGGGCGCGGGGCTAGGGAAGAGATAGCAAGAAGATCCTGGGGCTAAAATAAACGAGAAGGAAGGAGGATTTCCAACATCGAGACCAAGATTCAGGCAGGAGGTCCATCTCGCCGGGCGTTTTAGTTTCTGTAGTGGGTGAAGATTTTTTTTTTTTTCCCAAGGGCAAACTGTTGGTAGAAAAGTTGTTAGTTACAAAATAGAACCAAAGCTCTGGGTCCCTTGTATTTAGCAAAGCAAATTATTAATATCCTCCTTGGTTTATAATAGGTGTGATCGTTCCTGTTTTGGGAACGGAAACCTTTGTGGAAAGTTT